TTTTACCCCTACTGACGCCAATGAAGGGACTTTATTTTTTTGCTCACCGATACGGACCATGGAACTTATCTTATTCTCGCTGACTGAACTGATTTTGCACCCACTGACAGGGCTTATTTTAACATTTGCTGACACCAACAGGGGACTTATTTTTTATTTCCACTGTGGAGCTCATCTTCCTCCCACTGACAGCAACCTTATGATTTGTTTTACTTCCAATGACACCAATAAGAGGGGCTTATTTTAACTTTCACTAACATTAATGATGGCTGTTTTTTGTTTTTTTTGTGAATATTCACTAACAAAAGGCTTATTCTTACTCCCAATGACACCAAAAATGGTTTATTTTTTTCTTTCTGATACAAACAATGGGGCACGTATTAACTTTCAGTGGCACCAGCGATTATTTTTACTTGCCGACACCTATAATAGGGCTTGTTTTCCTCTCACCGGCACAAACCATGGGACTTATTTTTCTCACAATGATTTTTAACATTTTGATAATTTTAACTTTCACTGACACGAATGATGGGGGTTAATACAACTTTGACCAACAGCACAGATGGGGATTATTTTTACTCACACTAACAATGGGGGACTTATTTTCCCCTCACAGACATGGGTCTTATTTTATTCCTACTGGCTACAATGGGGCTTATATTACGCAATCGGTGGGGCTTATTTTAACTTCCCCTAGCACAAACAATAGGGGTTTTTCCCCTCCCACTGACACCAATGGTGGAACCTATTTAACTCCCATTGACACCAATGATGAGGCTAATTTTAAAGTAAACCCTCACCTTGTAAAACAACACATTCAGTTTAATAAAACAGAAATTAAAGGCAAAATATTTGTGTATAGATTTAAAAAAAAATATTATAAATACCTTTGTTTTCCTTGTTTTATAAGTGATCACATAACCTCTAAGGTCCTTATGCAGCGGAGAACAGAGAACTGGGGGAGGAGAAATAGCAGAGCACTGAACTTCCGTGTGAGTGTGTCAGAATGGGGCTGGCGGGTATTTAGAGGACTGGCAGGGTCATCAGGTATGTCACACATAGGAAGCAATACAAAGAGAACAGGATACACACAAGTACATGCAGACACATCAGGAATATGAAATGTTGGGTTTACATACCCTTTGCTGACAATTGAGCTTACTTTAACCCACCAAGAGCAATGGCTTATTTATTTTCCCCACTGACACCAACTATCGAGCTTATTTTGTCCCACTGACACCAACCAAGAGGCTTACATTTCTCCCACAGAGAGCAATAAGATTTTGTTTTTCTCCCATTGACACTAAAAGAGGAGCTTATTTTTTTCTTCTCCAGACACAAATGATGGGGCTTATTATTCTTCCCTGACAGCAATGATAAAGCTCATCTTTCTATTACTGACCCTATAAGGGGCGTTATTTTGCTCCTGCAGACATGGACGTTCGGGCTGATTTGGACTGACTACCCAGCAATATAAAGGGTATTTTGTTAAATATACCTGGAATTCCCATTCTAGGCTATAGGTTACATAGTCCTGACTCCTGCACTGTTGAGTTAGTTCCTATTTTAATGTAGTTCTTCTTAAAAGTAGGCTGAAATAGTGTTCGCTCTCTGGTGCTGAGGAACAGTTTTTCTTTTAAATTTACATTTTGTCCATAAATTCGTACACTTCAATATTCAACACAGTACTTTTCTTTCTTTCGTGTAATCCCAGGTTTAGTTTATCTAAAACAAAAGGAAAAATGTGCAACAGAACAAGCCCATATGCCTTGAAGCGACACCCAATCAATTGGCCACACTCATCTTTTGTCGACATTCCAGTTATCCCATTAAAGAAGTAGTATCAGAGATAGTATCAGATAGTATCAGAGATAACAAGCTCTCCTTTCATGCCCAAAGCCTCCTGGGATACTAACATCACACATCTCTGGAGGCTTTGAGGCCATGTAGAACACAATGCATATTTGCAGTGAAGTATCATCAGGAGGCTGGGTGCTAGGATATGGAAGAAACATCTTGCTTAGTGAGTAAATACTGGGGAAGTGATCTTAGGTGAGAGAGAAGCTTCAGTTGAAGTACTCCCTCGGTGGTTTAATAGGCCCGGTGTACTGAGAAATAGAAGTGGAGCATCTGGGGTAACCCATGTGCAAGTCTGAACCTTGTTACAGGTTTCAATATTTTCAGTTCTACAGTTTTTATTAAAATACCAGGTAATCATGCCATTAAGGTCCTTGTTGAAGGCATCTTGTTATGGATTGGCAAACTCTGTTCCCATCTGCCTTCTATTTTGCGCCTTGTCACATGCTCACCCAATGAAAACTACAAGTGGCCTTGCCAACGCACATTGCACAGGCATGGTGCACTACTGTCACCATCAGTTAATTTGCACTGAAAAAAAATGCCTTGCCGGCATCACTGAAGTGTATATAGACAAGAAGAAACTACAAAAGGCTGAAGGATATTAGCAGCACCATCTGTAACAAGAGATGAAAAAAAAGTTAAAGTATATTAATAATAAAAAAAAAAAATAAAATTAATTTTAGGGTTTAGATCTACTTTAACCACTTCATGTCCGGACACTTTTACCCCCTTCCTGTCCAGGCCAATTTTCAGCTTTCAGCGCTGTCACACTTTGAATGACAATTGAGCGGTCATGCAACACCCATATGAATTTTTTAGCATTTTTTTTGAGACAGATAAAACTTTATTTTTGTGGTATTTATTCAACACTGGGATTTTTTTTTTTTTTTTTGCTATATAAATGAAAAAGTCAAAACATTTTGAAAAAAACGTTTTTCTTATACAATTTTGCATATAAATAATCTTTCAGAAATCTTGGCCAAAATTTATTCAGTTATCTTTTTAGTAAAAAAAAATAACCCAAATTAGTTTATAACCAAAAATTATGTCATGGAAATTTTGTATTGTTGGTCGAACTTTAAATGTGTCATATATGAGTGTTATTCATATGTCTCTCGTGTGGCCTAATTAAAGCTCTGAAGGCTGCAATTGGGCCATGCGCATGTACAATGTATGTATTGCAGTACTCAGCTCGGTAATGGATGAGATGGCGGATCTGCGCTTATAGACCGGCGTGTATACCACCACGGCATTCGATGCGAATGCCGCTGACAGTAGACCGCGGGCCTGTATCCACATATCAGCAGCATAGTACCACATGGGCTTCATAACGCAAGGCGCCAAGCGGTGTGAACTCCGCGTGTAGGCTTATGCATATCTTACAACCCATTACTGACCTGAACTGTATCTTGGATGGATGTGTTTTAATAAAGATCGTATTGGGCCCATCCAGGTACAGACTGATATTTCTAGGGGATGCTTTTACAGAGAATGGACATACTGCTAGGAGCTGGGAAATATGACCTCAGATGGCTCATGGGGGGAAGGGGAGGAAGTCTGCTGACCTCAGAAGGCTCATGGGGGAGGACCAGTGATAGATAATAGGAAAGGCTATGCTCCAATCGGAATGTACATCCTGTGTATAGGCACTCCCCATTGCATTGTTCGGTGGGAGGGGATTGACTTTATTCATGTGGGGGGCATGTGTGTATTTTTAATAAAACCAGGGGCTGAGTCTGAAACCGGCCCTTATGTGGTTTGCAACACCAGCCTTAGAGTGTCGTGTGATTATTCTAGGGTAACAGAGCTCTAATTCCCCACATTTCAACAGAAGCTAACCAATTTGGATGGGCAGGAATCGTGTAGTTTAGCTGCAGTCGTGGTAAGCAAGATTCGCACAGCTTTATGGGGGATTTCTGCGCATCCAACTGCAAGTACTCACGGTAAGGAGAAATTCGTTAAAGCGAATTTCCAAGACAATTATAATTTTTGTAAACTTTTTTTTTACATTTAGGTTTTATTTTTTTCATAGTATTTTTTTTTGTCTGTCACCCTAGCAGTACAGTGTCACCATAGTGACACTGTACTACTTGTGGGGGGTTGATGAAAAATTTTTTTTTTTTTTTTTCAGATTGCTGAAAGCTGAAAGCAATCATTTCTCCTTCTCTCTGGCTGCATTCTTGCAGCCATTGAGAAATACTGTGTGAGCTGTGATTGGTCACAGCTTGTCATATGGTACAAGGCTGTTGTGAATAGCCTTCTACCATGTGATCTCTGTGATCATTCAAAGATTTCACACGTAGTAAGCAATGATGTCAGAAGTGACATCTTGCTTACACCTATTCATGTGATCACTGATTGGCCAATCAGTGATCACATGATCGGGACCTCACACAAAAGGTCCCATACAGCAATTGGTGTTCCTCCGGATAAAGTGGGGACTCCCAGGGTACACGCACAATCCATATTGGCGGGGGCGTTATCTATGAACAGAAACCCGCCCCCTGCACTGCCACCATCCGGCCGTTTTATATACAGCGGTCGGACGGGAAGTGGTTAAAAGCAGAGAGGAACTAGACACGGTGAGGGTTTTTTTTTTTTCCTCTAAACCAGGGCTTTTCAACTAGGGTTCCTTCAGATGTTGATAGAGCAATGAGCAATTTCTGCTTGTTGGACAAGTTCCACTGACACCTTATATCTTTTTAGTCATCTGTAAAGGGGTAATTCTTTCCAATGACCACAAGTGGAAGTATCATTCATTCCACTGACCATCACACTAATGTATCACAAGTTGTAGATATAGCAATTTCTAGCAGGGGTTCCCTGAGACTGGAAGGGTTCCTCTGTGTTGAAAAGGTTGAGAATGGCTGCTGTAAACAAAAACGAGCTGTCTGGCAAGTCTGACATCCAACATAAACACACTACCAAAATAAATACACCAACATGTACTCAAGCAAATTTACACAGCTTGAAATATAGTCACCAGTTAAAACATATACAACGCTTTATTATAAATTAAGATACAACTAGAGGTAAAACATTTTTAAAACACTATATACAATAACATTTGCAGTATGTGATGCACATTACATCTACAACCCTTCTCAGAGAAACTTTAGCTAGATAAATCGTAGAAGTGTTCAGTCCTCCTTGAGAGCGTACATGATATCATCCTGGCTGACGTTGATCCTCACTCTCAGGTGCAAGTCATTCCTGCTGGACTCTACCAGGAGGAGACGTGAGGCTCCGAGTCTTAGACACACCGCCATGGTCTCTGACATAGTAGGGGGCTGCATTCCTTCTATCCTACACAGTACAATATGCTGGTGGTATACCTACATACAAAAACATTGTTTGACATTAGTTTAAACAATGGATAAAAAAAGAAAATTAACATTGTAACCCATTTGGCAATTTGAATGTCATAATATTTGATTGGGAAAGCTGCTGCAAAACCTGAAAATGTAATCCTGAAAATGGAACATTCCTTGTAAGTTCTTCTCTAAGGCTGGTTTCACACTGATCAGTTTTTCTTCCGCTTTTGCGTCAACAAAAGCAGCAGAAGAAAAACGTGTGAACGTGTTTTCCTATAGAATTTTTCACAATGATCCCTTGTGGGTCAGGTGCGTTTTTTTAAAATCCCGCTTGCTGCATTTTTGAGGCAGGTTTGGTGCGGTAAAAAACAAACGCACCAAAAATGTACCCTCCCATTGAAAACAATGGAAAATGGGGCAAAAAAGCGGTAGAATCACAGATCAACGTGAAACCAGTCTAAATGATGTATAACAGTGTGAGGGACCGCCGAGCGGCACCACTAGCACTCCACTGGTCAGGCGTGCCCAGAGCGCGGAGTCTAAGCCCCAGGGTACTTGTTCACCAGGGCCCCTGATGGTGGGGATGGACTTGTAGTACCCCGAGACCAGGTCGCCTCTACTGAGCACACCTGTCAGTGGTAGGGGTGTTCGCCAGGGGTTCCAACCAGGGAGAGCCAGATGTGAGGAGGTCGGGTGAGCCCGATGGGATGGATGGATGGATGGCTGAGCAAGTGCGTAGTCAGACAGGCCGAGTCGGTAAGGTAGAGGACGGTAAGGTACAAGGGAGCAGGCAGAGAATCGTCGGGTCACACGCCAGGTCAGCAACAGGAGATCAGATCTAATAAGGGGCATCCAGGGAGAGAGGTCAGGCAAGCAGGGGTCTGGGCAGGAGAAGTCAGCAAGGTCAAGAGCAATCCGGGTCAATAACTTACTAGGCACAGGTACAGGAACACAGGAAGCAGGTAAGACCAGAAGGCAACGAAATGACAGCTCAGGGACCTTTAAATATCCCGCCCTGCGCTGCCATTGGTGCCCAGCGGGCGGCCGCGGCTTCTACTGCGCATGCGCGAGCTCGAACGCCGCGGCCGGCCCGGACCTAGTGCCCGTGTACTAGGTGGAGCAGTGCGCCTGCGCCGGGACCATCGCGGCAGGGATCGAGGAGATCCCTGACAAACAGGTTCATTGCCCCCATAAGCTTACTGGATGGAAGCAAGAAGGAGATGCCCTTATCTAAAGATATAATGGCTAAATGAATACAAAAATTATAAAGGGGACATTCAAGCCACAGTAATTACATTTTATTATATATATATATATATATATATATATATATATATATATATATATACTAGTTACATGCTGTCAGGAAGAACCTGTGGATATGTTCAATGACCTGAAACAAGTAGAACACTTTTTCACTTATGGCATACTTAGTTTTGCTACATATTTTTTTGAAATTTCAAGATGCAAGTTTTTTGGAGGCTTTAAAACCCAACCCCGGGTTCACCATGCACCAAACATCGCTAGATCAGCGACTGGGTGAGTCTGTGGGGAACAGCAATGAAAAAAAGTCGATTTAAGAATCCAAAGCTGCTTATTTAGGCTGCAATGGGGACTGGAATCCTTCAGTTATATCCAAGCCTAGACATGAGCTGAGGTATTACATGCTCTGATGTTTACTTAGACTTGAGGGCTAGATTGACCATCATGGTCTTAAAGTACTGTGCATCTAAAGTTAATTTTTTAGTTTGGGATAAAGCAGGGGAATCATTAACTACTGTCTTTTTTTCCCTATAAATCCAATTGAGGAGAATATCCTGAACTTTCAGTTCAGGAGCCACAACAGAAGAGGAAATCAATCTAAAGTGATGGAAATCTCCCTGGACAGTTGTCACTTAAAACAGAAAAACTTTTCACCTCTATTCTTGTTCTGGTGACAATGGAAAACCTCCTCTGTTCCTGCTCAGATGACAATTGTAAAATTTAATCTTTTCCATCACTTTCTGTGTCAGTGACAATGTTCTTTTTTTTTATTATATTTTCAAAATTCCAAGACAACACTAACACATAATCTTTGACAACATATTTTACATATACCTTTAATAAACCTCACATCTCTCTGTTTCCCCCTCTACTATTTCCTTTTCCTCTTTATCCCAACTTGTTGGCATATTTCTGTGTGATTCTGAACTTGCACCATCTTTCCCATCTTTTTTTTACATTTTCTCATTTTATCCTCTCCGCTATAATAAAGTTCTTCTAACCTATAACCATATTCCACCTTCCTTATCCAATCCTTAACCTTTGGTGCTACTTGGGCCTTCCAAAATTTGGGTATTAATCCTTTCGCTGCATTTAATAAATGAAATACAATTGTGTTCTTATATTGTTTTACTGTAAGGCCGGTATTATGAAATAAACACACCCTTGGGTCCATTATATTTTCTCCTGTAATTTCTGTTATTTGTTGTACTATCCTCTGCCAGAAATCCTATATTATGGAACATTCCCACTATATGTGTATCCATTGTACCCTCTATCACACATCCCCTCCAAAAGAGCGACAAATTCTCTGGATGGTACTTATGAACTCTATTGGGCGTAACGTACCATCTACTCAGGAATTTATAATTCATTTCAACTGTATTCATATCAGTTGCTCCATGTGCAATTCTAATTATTTTCTTTTTCTGTTGTTCATTTAACTGTGTTCCCAATTCCTTTCCCATTTTTCCATATATTGTAGAAAAACCAGTTCAGATATTATAGTGAGTGTCTTATACATACGAGAAGTGCAATGTTTTTGTGCTCCTTTAAATTCATCAAGTGTTCTGATGGATGCAAATTTTCAACTGTTCTTATTGGCTGCGGAAGTGCTACGACAAAATGTTTAATTAGGTGATACTTCCATTCATTTATCGCATAAAACATATCCCTTTTGTGTTTCAGCTCCCGAAGAGAACACATTTCATCCTTATTCATAATATCTTTTAAACATGCATGCCTATTTCTTATCCACACCACTGATATATTCCCCAACCCAGGTGTAAAATATTTTGTGCCTACTAGTGGTATTAATGGTGAATTATACACCCATCCGATAAACTAGATCCCATATCTTCAATACATTCCATGTTAAAGTGCTAGTATTCTCCGCTAACATTCGGTATTGTTGTGGAATCCATATAATCTTATCTAATTGAACTTCAAGCAATGTTTTTTCAATCTTCACCCAACTTTTCCCCCGAAAATTATACACCCAATCCATTATTCGTGACACTATAGCTGCAAAATAATATCTTTTAATACCCGGCATGTTTAGGCCCCTGTTTATTTTTTCCCTACATAATACTTCCTGCCTTGCTCTTGTTTTTTTATTTATCCGTATGTATCCCAATATTACTTTTTGTAGAGCCCTAATATACACCTGCAGCAAATAAATTGGTAACATTTGAAATTTATATAAGATTTTTGGCAAAACTCACCATCTTAACCATATTTATTCAGCCTATCCAGGAAAGCAGTCTTTTTGGGCTTTTCCTCAATTCCTCAATCTCGTTAATTAGTGGGATATAATTTGCATGGCAAATATCCTTCAGTGACAGTGTTAGCTTCACTCCTAAATATTTTAATTCCTTATCTCTCCAAATAAAGGAAAACTTTCCTTGTATTGCCAGTTTCTCTGCCTTCGGTAGATTTATATTCAAAATCTGACATTGCAAGGTTGATTTTAAAATTTGACAACTCTCCATATTTTCTTAATATACTTAATATGATTGGCAATGTTGGTCAACAACGTAGAATAACAGGTCATCTGCATATTTCGGAACTTTATGTTCCGTTTCTTCAACCTGTATCCCTTTTACATCTACATTATTCCGTATTATCGCCAAGAGGGGCTCTAAAGATAATATAAACAAAACAGGTGAGAGTGGACATCCCTGTCTTGTGCCATTACACATTGTAAAAGGTTGAAACAATGTGCCATTTATCTTTACTGCTGCCGAAGGGTAACTGTATAGATTTTTTTAATACCTCTAAGGTACCCAACATAAATCCCCAGTCTACCCTGTCAAACGCTTTTCCGGCGTCTATTGACAAAAATAACCGGGGTCTCTTCTCTTTCTTGCAGGAAAAATGATCTCAGACTGTTGTCTCTTCCTTCTCTCCTGGTACAAATCCTACCTGATCAAGGTGAACTCATTATGGCATTAGGTCTTTTATCCTGCTGGCAATTACTTTTGCATATAGTTTCGTATCAGCATTCAACAATGATATTGGTCTACAGCTCGCACATTGAGACACAGCTTTTACCTTCTTTAGGTATAATTGTAATATGTGCCGGAAGCGACTCTTTCCTCATTTCCATCCATTGGTCCTTGTGTTTAACTGCATACAGTAGGCTATAATATTCTTGGAATGTGCTAGCGATCTTTTTAGTTGGGTATACTATTTCCCCCCGATTTATTCCTGATCTTCTCTATATAATTTACTGAATTTCTTTTCCCTTAATATGTTTGCCAAATTTTTTCCTGGTCTATTCCCCCATTGGTATCTTTCTTTTGCCACCATGTTAAAGACCCTTTTAGTCTCCTGATCCAGTAAGTCATTTAATTCTTCTCTTTTTAAGGTTATCTTATGATGTACCCACCTCTCTCTATTCTTCTCTCATGTATTTCCTCTATTAATGTTCTAATCTTTTCAGCCCAATTTCTCTTTTTTTTCTGCCCCTATTGAAATCAGGATACCCCTTATATAGGCCTTCCCATACCATGGCCCTTGAGACATCCTCCCAACACTCATTTTCCAGTACTAGAAGTAGGTGTCCTTGGCAAAAAAAAAAAAAAAGGGAAGGGGGGCACGCTAAAAAAAAAAAAAAAAACCAGAAGCAGCAAGGTCTTTCCCAGGACAACCTCCTCCTCTGTCCCCCTATTAATGTCCCTTATTTTAAAGTCTCGCAAAGGCTAATTTCTTCTTTCTTTCCACCTCTTCTCATTTCTGTTGCCCTCTTCTCCTCATTCCTTGCCACCTCTCTTGTACTAACCCCAAATCCTCCCTTTTCCCAAAAGTCCAATTTGGGATTTCCAGGCAATTCTAGTTTCTCGCAGAAATCCTGGAGATCTTCTGGGAACCTTAATCTTGCTGAACAACCATTTTTCCATCCCACCAGACAAGCAGGAAAACCCCAGTTAAATTAGATGTTTTGTGCTCGCATAATCTCCAAGAGAGGTCTCAGTCCTATTTCTTGGTAATGTTTCTGGTGCTATATCTGCATAGATTTGCACATCCGACCCCTCATATGTTATTGCGGGAATTCTTCTCATCTTCTCCCAAATTTTTGCTTTACCTCAAAATAGTGGAACCTTACTAGCACATCTCTTGGGGTTCCCAGGGAAACTCCAGGGGGTCTCTTTATTGTATTGACTTTTCAGTGCTCAGTTATAGGTCTGTTTATTAGTGGATTAAGCACTTTTATTCATTACATCAAGTAAATCTTCCCCTTGTGCACCCTTCTGGTATTGCCCGAATCCTCAGATTGTTCCTTCTATTTCTATTCTCCTGATCTACTGTATATAGCATTTTTCTTTGTTCATGTTGCATTTCCTCCATTTGGTTATTAAGCTCTGTTATTATTTGGGTATGCTTAACCAATTTGCCTTCCGTTTTTCTCCCCACTCGGGACAGTACTTTTCCCAAGTCCTTGCGTGTTATTGCCATATCATTCTTTAATGACTGTTCTAACTTTTCGAACATGTCAGCGATTTCCATTTTTGCTGGCAAATGAGCTACCACTTCTTGTTCTTCCGTGCTCCTTATATTCAACTCACAGTCCATATTTAACATTTCTTTACCTTGACTCAGATCTGTTTCGACAAACTAGATTGGTCTCCACTGTTATTCCCCATTTAGGGAGGAGCCTGCCGCGCTGAAGTCATGCCGCCGAGGCTGCATGCCAGGCCGGCAGCCATCTTTAATGCTGTATTATCCATTGCTGAACTCATGCTGATTTTTACCTTTGGCTACATATATGCTGTGAGCTCACCCTGAGATATATATATACCTAAGAATAAAAAAAAAAAATACTACACTATCCAAATATTTTTGTTTGGTGGCTTATATTTGAGCCATTTAGAATGGATATATGTTGTCCTGGCATATCGTTTTCCTGGTGAATATGCATAGAAGGAACTGTCCCTGTATGCTGTGAGGGTTTGAGCTGTGAGGTCTAGAGTGCCTTTCCTGTGTGTACCCAGTGCAGCCCCCTATCCCCGCCAGTACCCTGATGACCACCAGTGCCTTCCCGGATAGTACATTACATGCGCATTAATATTGCACTTCTGGTGAGTGCAAGCACACTTCATTTCCTTATCACGGAAGTCACGAGCACCAATACTTGATGCATTTCTTCTATGGACTGCTTGTATCTCAAGACATCTGATTTATCACACGATATCTTCGATTGTCATAATATTTGTTTTTTTGCTTTAGCAAAATTTGTCATTGGACATTTGTCATGGTTATGTGACTCAGTTTGTGTGTTTATCATCCATTCACTTTTATCTTTGTCACTCACTGACTACACTTTTGGTCACATTATATAGCGCTCTGATTGGCGCTTGATTTCAGCACTTGTCACCTTATCATTTAGCGCTGCATTTTATATTATTGTGTTATTCCCCATTGCTGATTTTTCATTAGCTGCCCTTTACCTCTCAGGGGTCTGGTTCCCAGAACTTTTCTCCTGCGGGGGCATGTATTTTTTTTAATTGTAATAGTATGTGTCTTGGGTGTCTTCCCCCTCAAACCACTTGCCGCCAGCCTCTGCCCTTAATCCTCCACGATATTCTACTTCTTCCAGCCAGTTCATACAACATACAAAAGTGCTGTTTGCATTAAGCACTCATCGCTCCCTGGCTTCTGTTGGTCCACCCACTGTCTCCGGTTCAGTATCACTACTACTATTCCTTGCTGTCCATCTGCAATCTCCTTGGGGGGGGGGGGTTCTGAGGTGTCTGCCCGCAGGTATGGACCACTTCTGCACCCTCCCTACTCCTCTCAAGGAGGAGCTGCGCTTCCCATGAGGCTGCGCGGTCTTTGTCTCGCAGCTTTCACTGTCACTCTCCATCAGTCCTTCTCCTCCCACGACGCCGCTCACCAAGCGCCACTCCACGTCCTCCGCCTGACCAACAGAGTCACTGGAGTCGCCATACCAAGACAAGGAGCACACTCTTCTCGCCAGGCACCAGGTATGTCCCCTACTGCCCTGCTTCCTTCATTCAGGCAGGAACCCGGAGCTCCCACTACACGCTCCTACTCGGCACCATGATCAGGTCCCACCCCATTTGTCTCCCATTTGAAGTGACAATGTTGTAACCCATCCCTTAACTATCAAAAAAAAAAAAAAAAAAACCAGCAGGGGTTGTATTAGATATGCTTTAACACATATTAATTATAAAAAAATATAAACATTAAAAAAAAAAAAACACACCTGCTGAAAGGTGGCTTCTTCAAGACCAGATCTTCTAAACTCTGCAATGACAGCTCTGAGAAAACACTGCTCCAATACAGAAGAGTTCCTAAGAAATAAGATTTCAAAAGTGAAATCATACAATATGTTCATATCTCATGCACAACACAAGACAGGGTTATTTTGACTGTCAGATTTCTAATGCTTTCTCTTGCTGCCCCCATTCACAGCTGAAATTCAAAGCTCCTGTGAAAGTGTAGAGTTCCACAGTTAAAGTCCATTCATCGCATGTTCCCCATGTGATAGTACTCAAGCCATGGTGAGTTCCTGCAAAGAAAATCAAATTCAGCAGCTCACACGCTCTAATCCCCATGTCATTTTTCATTGGTATGACTATACTGCACTTTTCTGCTGAAATCCAATTGATGGGTATGACTAAGAGCTTTGTTTTTGTATTATAGTAATACATACAAGCTAGCATATTAAAATCTTTGCTATTAGGCTACTCTATAGAATAAATAAATATTTAGCTGTTAATAATCACTTCAGCCCTGGAAGGTTTTACCCACTTTAAGACCAAGCCATTTTAGCTATTTGGCACTATTTTCTTTTAATACTAGTACTGGCAGCTATCAGCGATTTTCTTTCCTGCCATCCCTGTCAGGCGAGCAGTGATTTTTGCTAGCAGCTATAGGCACTGGCAATAATCACATGTAAAATCCGAAATGCTGGTTGTACCCAAGAAGTAATAATAAAAATGTGAAAAATATACAAATCACAAATAATAGCGCAAACCAAATCACAGAACTAAATATAACCACCACCAAATAAGTGCATATTAATAGGGAAAACTAAAAAAAAAATCAATAAATAGGGAATCTCAATATAGTCCATTCAGAAAAGTCCATATAAACACGATCCTCAGTAAATGTTTTGTTTGCACTATTAATATGCACTTATTTGGTGGTGGTTTTATTTAGTTGTGTGATTTGGTTTGCGCTATTTGTGATTTGTATATTTTTCACGTTTTTGTTATTATTTTGAGTTTTTTAATAATAGCAGCATCCAGTGAGTGTATTTCCTCTCTTTATTACATTGGCGCAATGATGTTGGTATAATAGAAGTGTTGTATTTATTGGAACATTTCTTTGGTAACTAACTTTTTAGTGATTGTACCCAAGAAGTACAACAACAAAATTGGGTATAGTCAGCCTGCCTATAGATAGTTAGAATCTAAGCCAGACCCTGCTGAACCGGCAGAGATATTAATCTATAGCCAGCTTTATTCTGTCTGGATACACAGACATCATCTCCCATGAATGTTTTTTTTCTCTTTTGACGGAGGATAACCAAGAAAAACAAAACAAAAAACTATTTACAGCCATAGGGGAAAGAAAGGTTAAAGAAACACATGGTTTTAATAAGTGTTTCACAGTTCTTATCTAGGGATGGTTAAAGAGCTGTAAAGGAAAAAAAAGGAGCAACAGACATGGGCAAATTGCAACCCCTTTGGCTGTCCTTATATGGCCCTTGATGCCTTCACTGTCAGAATGTCTCCGAGTCTGTCTGCTTCCTCGCTGAGAAGCATGCTGACAGATGTTTGTGTGGAAAGCTGTAAGAACTGGAAGAAGAGAGCCTGAAGAGCTGATCAGTACAGCAGGGAAAACTTTGCCTAGGAGACGGCCTGATGCTCTCTCACCACTCTGGTACCTGGCCAAGTCCTTCCTTTGTTAGCGTCTGCATGCTGCAAACCCGAGGAGTCATGCAGCTGTTCTTCACTCCAAGTTTAGGAACTGCAAAAATCCCCGCTGTACCAATCTCAGGCTCTCTCCTTAAAGTCACATTCCTTTTCAGAGGGCATTTGACAAGCAGTGAGGAGGTGTTATATCGCTTTCTTACTGCCTTGATTAAACCCTATAAAGCCACGCTGAAACAGTGAGCATTGCATGCAGTGTGGCCCTATTAAACTCAGTGGGTGAGTTTCACAAGCTGTGTGTCTGTCCAAGTTAAAAATGCAGCAGCCGCAGCATGTGAACAACCCTGTTTTACAGTTTGGGTGGGTGGCAAGGGTGCGGCAAAACCACAGACTCAGCTGACGTTTGTACACACACCCCCCCCCCCCCATTTTACAGTGGTACATACCTGATTGCAATGACATAAGGGGAAGAGAACATTTCATCCAAGGCCTCAATGACATGTGGCATTTTTACCAATGAAGGTTCACCTTTTTTGCTAGTGAACTCACAGATCTCTGTTGCCCTGCGACAGATGTCTAAACAGCGACGTGCATCACCAGACAATGCAGCCACCTGCAGAAACAGAACAAAAAGGGGGCATACGCGTTTAGTACCACATACATTACTGGTAAAAGACTGAAGATTTCTTGTGTCGTCAGTTACACTATTTTGGCTCTATGGCATTTTTAGGCTGCATAAAGAAATGCTATTTATTTAGTACAGGTACTTCTATAGTGTTGTTAATTTACACAGCACTTTAGACATATATTTTGTTTATTTACATCAGTCCCTGCCTTCGTTGAGCTTACAATCTAAGGTCCCTAACTCACATTCATATACATACTAGGGCCACTTTAGACAGGAGTTAATGGGAGTGCTGGTTTATATTAAACAAGCAGCTAACAGGTTTTAAGTAGTGCTGAAGCCTAAAGAAGCCTGCAAGCAGATTATTGAAAGTGAGTCATCGCTGTCCTTAGGATCCATGTTCAACATTCTCAGGTCGAGCTAAATGGTACTTTAAAATCTTCAACAAAGCTCATGTGTATAAGGCCTAAGCAAATTAAAAGAGAAAAAAGGTTTTGTCTTTAAATAGACCAATTCTATATTTGCCCAATTTTACCAAAAAGAAGATTTGCTATACTTACAAGTATAAGATTACTATATAGTATAATGTGGCAGTCCTCACACATCGGCACAGCTTACAGTGAAGGAAATAAGTATTGGATCCCCTGCTGATTTTGAATGTTTGCCCACTCACAAAGAAATGATCAGTCTAAAAATCGAATGGTAGGTGTATTGTAACACTGAGAGACAGAATAGCAACAAAAAATTCAAAAGAAATGCATGTCTAACAAATGATGTGCTGATTTGCACGTTCATGAGGGAAATAAGTATTTGATCCCCTTCACAAAACATGACTTAGTACTTGGTGGCAAATCCCTTGTTGGCAATCACAGAGGTCAGACATTTCCTGTAGTTGGCCACCAGGTTTGCACACATCTCAGGAGGGATTTTGGCCCACTCCTCTTGGCAGATCCTCTCCAAGTCATTAAGGTTTGGTGGCTGACGTTTGGCAACTCGAACTTTCAGCTCCCTCCACAGATTTCACTGTTCAACAGGTAAAAAGTTTTGGGCATAAAATTAGCTAATCTTACATAATTTTGGGGTGCTGAAAACGAAAATGACCCTAAAAAATGTTGATTGGCTCTAGTTTCCATGATATATTCACCCATCTAATGACGTAAGCCATTCAAAATTATGATGCAACTTCAGCTGCATATTGCGCAATTGATACTGGTGACCAATAGAAAATTGCACGTATACTGAGATGATGCAATATTAGCCTTTAATTGCATCACTTCACTGCATAAAAGCTGCAGTATCTGTAGCTGATTGTAGTTCGACAGCGTCTTTACATTTCGTTTTATGCTTATATAGGCTACTCAGTAATGCCTCGAACTTGTGTGAATAAAGCAGATAATTTCTGCTATATCTGCGGTGAAATAACTTTTATCTCACAAAAAAGGAGGATAACAGGAATGATTAAGAAAGCCTACAACTTGTATTTTGGCTGCAAGATAGGAGACCAGGACAAGAGCTGGGCACCACATATATGCTGCAATTCTTGTGGGACGGCACTGGAGCAATGGTTGAATGGAAAAAAGGCATCTATGCCTTTCGCTGTGCCAATGATTTGGAGAGAGCCAACAGATCATGTTAGTAATTGTTACTTTTGTATGGTGCCTCCAATTGTAAAAGGGCTAAATAAGAAGAAAAAGTTATCTGTGCACTATCCATATATTCCATCGGCAGTACGTCCAGTTCCTCATGGAGAGGGGCTACCAATTCCTAAAGCACCAGAATCCTTCGTGGTTGAGTCAAGTGAGGAAGAACCTGAAGCGTGTAGTCACGTGCAGTTGTAAGAGATAGCCCTTTCCTCGAATACAAGAGAAAAGCCAAGAGAAGCAAAACCGACACAAACTGAAGACAAAACTAGTGAGAATCCTAAGTATTAAAATGATTCAACTTAGCTTATGGCTATAATTTTTCTTGGTAATCCTATGCAATATATTATGCCATTTAGGCTTTGTTATGTAGTCAATATCACTTGCTTTATATTTGTGGAAAGGCATCTATCTATATAATTATTGTGCATTATGTAGTCATTACGCCTATAGTAGAAAACTTTCCGTTTACAGAAAAACTAGAGCCAATTGACAAATTTCATTGTTATATTTGAACTCAGAATGTGAAATTCATTAAGAAATGGATCCTTTTGTTTCCAAATTAACTGGCAAAAAATAAAAATTTGTTGAACACTTTTTTGGTGTTTTCAATCGGATTAAGGTCTGGAGACTGGCTAGGCCACTCCAGGACCTTAATGTGCTTCTTCTTGAGCCACTCCTTTGTTGCCTTGGCCAATTGTTTTGGGTCATTGTCATGCTGGAACACCCATCCACGACCCATTTTCAATGTCCTGGCTGAGGGAAGGTGGTTGTCACCCAAGATTTGATGGTACATTGCCCCGTCCATTGCCTCTTTGATGCGGTGCAGTTGTCCTGTCCCCTTAGCAGAAAAAACACCCCCAAAGCAGAATGTTTCCACCACCATGTTTGACAGTTGGGATGGTGTTCTTGGGGTCATAGGCAGTATTTCTCCTCCTCCAAACACTGCGAGTTGAGTTGATGCCAAAGAGCTCGATTTTGGTCTCATCTGACCACAACACTTTCAACCAGACCTCCTCTGCATCATTCAGATGTTCAGTGGCAAACTTCAGACGGGCCTGGACATGTGCTTTCTTGAGCAGAGGGACCTTGCAGGTACTGCAAGATTTCAATCCTTGTCGGCATAGTGTGATACCAATTGTTTTCTTGGTGACTGTGGTCCCAGCTGCCTGGAGATCATTGACAAGATCCTCACTGTTCTCATGATCATTGACACTCTACGAGGTGAGATCTTGCATGGTGCACCAGACCTAGGGAGACTGACAGTTGTTTTCTGTTTCTTCCATTTGCGAATGATTGCACCAACTATTGTCACCTTCTCACCAAGCTGCTTGGCGATAGTTTGGTAGCCCAGTCGAGCCTTGTGTAGGTCTACAAACTTGTCCCTGACATCCTTGGACAGCTCTTTGGTCTATGCCATGGTGGAGAGTTTGGAATCTGATTGTTTGATTGCTCCTGTGGACAGGTGTCTTTTATACAGGTAACAAAAAATTAGATTAGCAGCACTCCCTTTAAGAGACCGCTTCTAATCTCAGCTTGTTACCTGTATGAAAGACAGAAATCCTGCTGAATAATAGGAGATCAAATACCTATTTTCCTCATAAACATGCAAAACAGTGCATCATTTGTTAGACATGCATCTCTTTTGAATTTTTTTGTTGCTATTCTGTCTCTCAGTGTTACAATACACCTACCATTCGATTTTTAGATTCATCATTTCTTTGTGAGTGGGCAAACATTCAAAATCAGCAGGGGATCAAATACTTATTTCCTTTACTGTACTTATACATGCAAAGAAAATAATGTGACTTAGTAATACCCCTTTAAACGCATTTTAGTCTGTAATTAAATGGTAATAAGCTTCAAAACCAAACACCCAGAATAAATTTGCTTTCATTCAAGCTGGTGCTTTAAAATTGCAAGCTGACAGCAAGGTAGTATTTGTTTTTACCCCATCAGTCCACTATTACTGTCCGCAAACGAACAAGAGGGAAAGCTGTAGTTCACAGGTTTGTTACAGAGGTCTGCTCAGCTATGACACACGGAAGAGGTAGTAATTTCCGCTTTGGAAGTTGTACCTACAGGTAAGCCTATAATAAGGCTTACCTGTAGATACAGTGAATAGCTCCTAAACGTTCGGTGTTTAGGATATTACAAGGTCATCTTTAATATTGATTGGACCCTGAGCAAACATTTTCTTCCCCCTCCTCAACACTCAAGACATACAAAAAAATAGCAGGTGGACTCAAAATTAGTTTACTGCAGCAGATCATACAGTGATTGCAATTGGTTACAACAAAATTTCTGCTTGCAGATTTGTTGCTAGAGGTTACTGTACATTATTACTGCTCACTGATTGGTTGCTATAGATTTCGTCAGATCATTACCACTCACTCATTGCTAGAAGTTACAGCACATAATTACCCTGATTGATTGCTAGAGGTTACAGCACATCATTACTGCTAACTGAATGGTTGCTAGAGATTACAGCAGATCACTACTGTTCACTGACTGGTTGCTAGAGGTTACTGCAATTCAATAAAGCTCACAAAGCAGTGGAGCAATCCCAAATAATTGAGCACGTAAAACGGCACATTAATACACATACTACAAGAGATGGTTAGAAACAGTCGACATACTACCGGAGATGACCAGAGACTACAGACGTACTACTGGAGATGACCAGAGCCTACAGACGTACTACAGGAGATGACCAGAGCCTACAGACGTACTACAGGAGATGACCAGAGCCTACAGACGTACTACAGGAGATGACCAGAGACTACAGACGTACTACAGGAGATGACCAGAGACTGCGGACACAGTACAGGAGATGACCAGAGACTGCGGACACGGTACAGGAGATGACCAGAGACTGCGGACACAGTACAGGAGATGACCAGAGACTGCGGATGTACTACAGGAAGTGACCAAAAACTGCAGATGTACAAGAGATGACCAAAGACTGCGGATGTACTACAGGGGATGACCAGAAACTGCGGATGTGCTATAGGAGATAACCAGAGACTGCAGACATACTATAAGATGATCAGAGACTGCGGATTGCTATAGGAGATAACCAGAGACTGCAGACATACTATAAGATGATCAGAGACTGCGGATTGCTATAGGAGATAATCAGAGACCGCAGACATACTATGAGAGATAACCAGAGACCTTTCAGCAATGCACAGCTTTACAGATTGTGAACAGTCCAGGGTTTGGTATAACAGTTCACAGGCAGTCTGTGGGGGAGAAGGGGGAAGGACATATCTGGCCAGCAGGGCTCAGCATCTGCTCTCCGAGGTCAGGGAGCAGGGCTCCCACTCAGATCTCAGCTCCTATTACAGCAGCTCCCTCCCGAGCATACAGGCTGCATGGGTCGGGGTCAGTGGAGCTCCCAGCCCCAAACCCTTCCCTGCTGGCTGGGCAATACAGCAATATGTTCAGTGTACCTCGTGCGCTCTGCAGTGCCATCATTTGGGCCCCAATTTGCAGGCAGCATAAGCTTAAGGGGCAGCTGCTTTGAGCCCCACAACAAAGACTGGGCCCAGGGCACCTGCCCCTTTTTGCCCTGCGTTAAAGACAGCCCTGGATATTGACAGTGGATGCAGCCGGTCCCTTCAGAGAGAGCTCTATGTCATAAACTGTGACTCACATACGTGGTAGTGATGTCATCACAGGATCAGCCATTCAAAGAATCTGATCCAACGAACCCGAAAGGAAAGCCGGGGGAAGACGGAAGCCCTGTCAGTGTCAGTGGTGACAGTGTACCAGCTTTGTTCTAAGGTAAGAATTTAATAATGTGCTAGTATGTGATGCACACTAGAACATTATGCCACTGCCTTGCATGGTATTTTTTTTTTTTTTCTTTTTAATGGCCGTGGTTTACTAAGACTTTAAGAAAGAATAACACAAACACAGGTATTTTGCTGCATCTTGCCACATGTGTATGATTGTTACTCAAATATACAGTTTGCAGTTTAGATGCAAACAGTGCATAGCGGATATGTTATTTATATTCCTACCTTTCTGGCAACAAGCTGAATGGCATCATCGTCAAATGCCTTGACATGGTTCAGGCGAGAGGTGATTATCTGTTGCAGCTGTTTATGAGTGTAAGGCTGGAATGACATCCTCGTCAGACCCTGTTAGAAGCAGAAGATTAATCTATTAAGACATGATGCATATAAACAGTTCATCCTATGTTCTCAGTTACTAGCAAAAGAAGATTCTTCTTTGGTAAAAAGAATGCACACATACACCACTTTATTACAGAATGACAAGGACATGTACATGTCATGGACAAGTACATGCAACACTGTCTTACTTAAAGGATGAGTTCACCTTTTAAAAAAAAATAAATGCACATCTTTTTGCGGGTAAAAAAAATGTGCATTTATAATTCTTTTTTACTTGGAGCCTGTAAAGCATCGCCTTCTGCCGGCTTGTCAGTGTATATGTCTGCTCATATGGGCAGGCAGATACACGCTGACAGGAAGAGATAATGAACTGCTACAGAGCTCAACAGCGCCATGGTACTTCATTAAGAACTCGAAACCGACAGCTGCAAAGACCGTCTGTTCTTGTAGTTTCCTGTTCACAGAACTCTTTGAATGAATGATGTGGCCAGAGCCATGCATGGTTGTTTTTTTCTTTTTTAAATAGTGGCAGCTAGCGGAAGGAGAAGATCCCCCGATAGCGGTCACTAGATGCAGCAGAGAGGGTAGTTGCTACAGGGCTGGGAACATATTACATGCTGCACCCTAAAAATGTAACACGTTCCCATAGGTGAACTTATCCTTTGGGACGGCGTCAATAGCATAAGTGTGAGATGCTTCTGAGATCATTCAGAATTTAAGGACAAATGCATCTAGCCCACAGTTGACTGCTTCAGAACAGCAGGCTTTGCAGTCCTATAGACCTGTATGGGGAAACAAAAACCTTAGTTAAAGATAGTTATTAAGAGGTCGTACAATAAATTACCGTATCACCCAGTAAATGGTCTCCATTCAGTAGCCAAAAAAGGCATGCAAAAAAAGAGGGGTTGTGAAAAGAAATTCACAAAGAAAGCGGCTACATTAAGAACAGAATGTGATACTCAGAAAAATTTCCAAAAATTATACTTTATTACACATACAAATTTGACATATGGGCAATCGCCCTGGTTTACCATCACCTCAGTATGAGACAATACACACAGACCTAAAACCATATAAAATGACACCAATACCGGTCTGAATGCATGTGCAACAAGGACAATGACTACAAGAGTCTAAAGTCCCTGTAGCACAGGCGCATAGGTGGACACTTCCCAAAGGAGGTGTATACAAAAATTATACCATAGGTATACCATAACACGTGTAATAAATGTGTAGACTAAGCTACTACCAAAATGGTTATATCCCATACAGGGAATTTCAAAAAATTATACCATAGATATAAATATCACATGTATGCAATGCAGCAAGCACAGTATGCGTCAAAAAGAAGGCATGCCTCTAGGCCTATATGAGACAAAACATAAATGTCATGTAAATGATGCAACACATTCCTATGCCGGCACAAGTGGTTGGGGCCCATTCATCTGTGATTATTACCAGCTGTTTCCTAGGGCTCTTGAATAAAAATATGCCCCATTTTTTTTTTTTTTTTTTGGAAATTTTTCTGAGTATCACATTCTGTTCTTAATGTAGCCGCTTTCTTTGTGAATTTCTTTTCACAACCCCTCTTTTTTTGGAAACAAAAACCTGCCTGAAGAGAACAAAAGCCTGTTGACATGAGCCATAACACTGATACTCTGGTAAGGTAATTATTTTAAGATCTAAAGTTTTCCTTCTAAAAGTGACATAAGCATCCAGTATAACAGTTCAACAGCTACACAGAAATAAAGCATTTCTTACCAGCCTGCTGGCTACACGATTCATCATTATCCTCTCTGGCAGATCCATGGTGTTTGCAATGGCCAATACAATCAGTTTTGCTTGTTTCCGAGTAGGCCAGTCAAACAAACTGTACATAACATTCTGCTTTCTGGTCCAAAGAAGGTCCAGCTGGAAAAGATGTAAAATACATTAGGAGACATTTATCCAGCCCTCAAAATTGCAAAATAACGTGGGGGCGAGCAGAGCCTGGACTAAGGGTGTGTGGGAGGGCAGTGGTGGGGGCAGTTACAAGGACCAATCTCCCTGTATGGCTTTCAATGAAGCAGCTGAAAGCAGCGGGAGGGAGAGGAGAAGCTGCTTCATTGAAAGCCATACAGGGAGATCAGGTCCCACCGCTGCACCGATCATCCCCGATCATTCAATTTCTTTCCAGGGCCACCGTGTGCTCCTTGGTGCCCAGCCCCTCCCCCCATCCTCCACACAAATAGGAGAGGAGAGAGGCTGGATCTGCTCTGCCTCCCCGTGCCCACCCACACTCCAGTCCATGCAAAAGAGGATGTGTGGGCGGGAAATTGTGTACAGAGCAGTCGGCAGCTCTGTGATCATTCTGACTGAGAATGTGAGTTGGAAACCATCCATGTGAGTCAGAGCTTCGTTCCACCCCTCCCTTCCCTTTACGCATTCCCCCCCTCCCCTTCTTCTCTCCCTCCTTTTTCCTCCCCTTCTTCCTTTCTCCCTCCCTCGCATGCTCCCTTTTTTTCCTACCTCCCTTCCCTTCCTTTCCCTCCTTCACTTCGTTTACTCCCTTCCTTCACTCCCTTCGTTTACTCCCTTCCTTCTGTATAAAACATTTAACAGTGCCATTTCATGATAATTTAAGAGGACGTGTTTAGGGGCGGAATTAGGGGCAAGGCAGGGTAGGGGTTGAGTGGGGCAACTGGTGGCTAGTAGCTCAGGATTTTAAATTTTGAGCCATGATATATCAATTATGTTGGACAATGCTAAATAGAAGCAGTGAGGTAGATCTTAAAAGATAAGAGTCAGATTTATTATACATAGGCAGCTTCATTCCTAAATTCCCCCTTAGCCACCCTAAATTAAATGCTGCGAGAGAGTAAAATCTGAACCCGACTGGTTAATGACACCTTTGTTTTGAGTGAAAATCTGTATTATATTGGCAATTCTGTTACAGACCTGCTGAGCAAATCTGTCTTAGTTTGCTGCCCAGGATTACAGGCATATGTGGTGGGAGGAAGGGGTTGTCGGGTCACAAATACTCACAAAAGCTGTTGCATAGATTTTGTTAATGGACAGGCAGCCTAATTTGCATAAAAAAAGTCACCAATTTGTTTAGTAAATGTCTTGTACTGGTCTCAAACCTTTGTAATTTGGGCTGGGAGTACGGGATGAGAACACAAGTGTCTCATTGGCTGCAGAGCCTTCCTGCAAGTGGCACAATCCTTGAGACTGGATTCTCCTCTTCTGTAGGCCAAACAGATCAATTGCTTTGACCTGCTAGGCCACAAGAACAATAACACATTTCATTTTGGTTCAGAAAGAGAAGACCCAAGGCAATCTAGTTTGCCCATGCTAGGAATGTTTCCAGTTTTTATCTAATGCAAGTGGAAAGATAAATACGGTTTTATCAGTATAAATGTAACTGCTTTTCTGTTACAAAATATTGTATTGGAGCTGGAATTATCACAAAGGCTGCAGCTATGTGACTGGTAATATAGATAATTTGTTTCCGTTAAACACAACAGAAAAAGGAAAGCCACATGTAGTACAATCTCTGTTGTGATGCATTGCCATTACCTCGTCCACCAGCAATACAGTGGTCTCCCTTTTGGAGGCAGGTGTGCTGAATCTCTTCTCAAGCAGAGCAGCAGCGTGGTCTGCAGTTGCTTTCTGGCCAGTCAAGAGCTGAATGAAATATTGATAAGATGAATATCAGAAACATGGAACAAAAATACTACTACTACCACACAAAAAAAAAAAAAAAAAAGACAACTGCGTGCAAAACACTTTTACACAATAGATAACAGCTGCGTGGCTTTGGCCTCTGCAGTGCCACAAGGCTCTCACCTTCAGGATTTGTACATAAGCCTGATGAGGGTCTGTCAGCTTCATGCCATTGATCTCTATGTACTGGAAAGATGACAGCTCATCTTCATCTGCAGCCCGCTGCAGACTTCGGATCACCTCGTGCACTGTTGCCGTCTTCCCAGTGCCAGGGACACCAGATATGTACATGCACCTAATGAGCACACACAGGAAATGTGATCTCATTCTAATTTACGTAGCATTTCGAAGAGCTCAGGGTTAGGCACATCTAACTAGATCTATTTAACAATGTGTACCTTTTTTGTTTGCAATCTGCTTTTTCATTAGCTAAAGACCAAGTCTTCCTAGGTTTCAACAGCTTTGTTGGAACTGGAGATTCTTGCATAAAATTTCTTTTCACTATGACCATTAAAAACCTGGTGCAGAAATGGTGTACAGAGCATAACTGTTCTACACAACTACCTGCAAAGAAAAGTGTTAAAGATTGCAACATTTGTCTGTAATGTACAGTGAGGAACAGAAGTATTTGAACACCCTGCGATTTTGCAAGTTCTCCCACTTAGAAATCATGGAGGGGTCTGAAATTCACATTGTAGGTGCATTCCCACTCAAAGACAGAATTTTAAAAAAAATTTCAGGAAATCACATTTTATGATTTTTAAAGAATTTATTTGTCTTGCACTGCTGAACATAAGTATTTGAACACCTAAGAAACAGCAAGAATTCTGGCTCTCAAAGACCTGTTACTGTGCCTTTAAAAAGTCCACCTCTACTCCACTCATTAATCTAACTTAGTAGCACCTGTCTGAGCTCTTTAAAGACACCTGTCCACCCCACAGTCAGTCAGACGCCAAATACTACCATGGGCAAGACCAAAGAGCTGTCAAAAACACCAGAGACAAAATTGTGGACCTCCACAAGGCTGGAAAGGGCTACGGGGCAATTGCCAAGCAGCTTGGTGAAAATAGATCAACTGTTGGAGCAATTGTTAGAAAATGGAAGAGGCTAAAGACGACTGTCAGTCTCCCTCGGACTGGGGCTCAATGCAAGACCTCACCTCGTGGGGTATCACTATATAAGAAAGGTGAGGAATCAGCCCAGAACTACAAGGGAGAAGCTGGTCAATGACATGAAGAGAGCTGGGACCACAGTTTCAAAGATCACTGTCAGTAGAACACTACTCCGTCATGGTTTCAAATCATGCATTGCACGGAAGGTTCCCCTGCTCAAGTCATCACATGTCCAGGCCCGTCTGAAGTTTGCCAATGACCATCTGGATGATCCAGAGGAGGCATGGGAGAAAGTCATGTAGTCAGATGAGACCAAAGTAGAACTTTTTGGTCTAAACTTCACTCGTCGTGTTTGGAGGAAAAAGGATGAGTTGCAACCCAAGAACACCATCCCTACTGTGAAGCATGGGGGTGGTAACATCATACTTTGGAGGTACTTTTCTGCGAAGGGGACAGGACGACTGCACTGTATTAAGGCGAGGATGAATGGGGCCATTTATTGTGAGATTTTGAGCAACAACCTCCTTCCCCTCAGTCACAGCATTGAAGATGGGTCGTGGCTGGGTCTTCTAACATGACAACGATCCAAAGCACACAGCCAGGATAACCAAGGAGTGGCTCCAAAAGAAGCATATCAAGGTTCTGGAGTGGCCTAGCCAGTCTCCAGACCTAAATCCAATAGAACATCTTTGAAGGGAGCTGAAACTCTGTGTTGCTCAGCGACAGCCCCGAAACCTGACAGATCTAGAGGAGATCTGTGTGGAGGACTGGGCCAAAATCCCTGTTGCAGTGTGTGCAAACCTGGTCAAGAACTACAGGAAATGTTTGACCTCTGTAATTGCAAACAAAGGCTTCTGTACCAAATATTAACACTGATTTTCTCAGGTGTTCAAATACTTATGTTCAGCAGTGCAAGACAAATAAATTCTGTAAAAATCATACAATGTGATTTCCTGAAATTTTTTTTAAATTCTGTCTCTCAGAGTGGGAATGCACCTACAATGTGAATTTCAGACCCCTCCATGATTTCTAAGTGGGAGAACTTGCAAAATCGCAGGGTGTTCAAATACTTCTGTTCCTCACTGTGTGTTGATGATTCCTTTAACCTGCACAGCACCTCTGCTTGGACTACCCTCCAAAGAGAGTGCCTGAAGGGACGTTTTTACCGCTAGCGGTTATCATCTCCCCCCACTGGCTGTCACGATTGAAAAAAAGGTGGCCCTGCGGGGCTCCACATCGGCCCGACTGCATCACTCATTCACAGTCTTCTGTGAATGGGAAAACTGCACATTCAACAGCCGTTGCGGCTGTTGGCTTGAATTTCTCAATGAACTACTGAGCACTGTGGTAGTTCACTAATCTTCCTATCAGTGTGTGTCTGCTTGCCCATACGAGGTACGAACACACAGATACACTGACAGGTCTGCAGGAGTCCTGCATGGTACCAGCGATCTGCTGATTGCAGGTGCAATGCTTTCCAGGCTCCCAAACCATAAAATAGTAAATGCATATTTTTTTTACCTCCTTTTTTGAAGTTCACAGAAACTGCTGCCAAACATGAATTATTCTTCTTAAACTCCCCAGTGCATAATTGGTGAACAAAATGCTCAGTCTGTGAATGAAGTCAGTTTTTCTACTTTCGGGTGCTACCATCTCACTTCCCACTGCTTAATGTATACAGCAGGAACCAAGGGAAAAGCTTAGCAAATGAGACAAGGGTTTAGCTACTGAGTTTTAATTAACCTAGAATTTTCACATCAGTATTGGTGCTGTTTCTTAGGCTTAGGCTAAATTTTCTGATTAGGTGCAAATTTTGAGAAAAGCAGATTATGAAGGTACGACTAACTGTACATGCTAAAAGGAAGCAACAGTTCGCTTTAATTCAACTATAGGTTAGTTAATCCCTCTAAACCCAATGATAAAAGCAATGCCCTACCACTTCTAAAGTTTACTTACCCACCAGTTCCATCCAGCAGTTTACTTTCCACAAAATTGTACACATCCTGGTACTCCTGTTCCCTGCAAGGCAGAGATTCTGGTACAGCAGAGACATGGAGCCTGCATATAGAAGTGGAATAGAGTTAAAGAGATCATTCATCCTCAACCATACACAAAAATGGGATCATAGCTTATATCATAATGTCTTCAGACAATAAAATGCCAAAACTAGCAAACTGTAATACACATGGTGTTATCTATATGGCACTATAAAAAAAAAAAAAAAAAAAAAAAAAAAAAAGAGGTAGAAAGAAAAACATCTTGAAATTACATTAACACGTTACAGCTTATGAGATTTCAAAGATTTGATTTATATCTACTTTAAAATAATTTACCAATTTGCCATTCCAAAAAAAGCAAAATCATTATAGTTCCCTTTAAATTTTAAGTTTAGGCAAGGCTATCAAATTTCTAGGTAGCAGTTTTGTGTAGCAGAATGGATTGGTTATTTTAGTTGCAGCCAATATTCTGCTAACACATCATTAAAACATGTCTGGTGATTTATAAACATCCACAGAAGAGCAGAAAGAGCAGAATGATCCCTTCTCTTAAATGGACTCTGTTAGGGCAATGAACTGCCGTATGTACAGTTTACAGGCCAAATTCACCATTCAGGAAAAAAATAAATGCACATATTTTTGCAGAATAAACTGTGAATTTAATTTTTTCCTACAGGAGCTTGCAAAGCATTGCACCTGCGATCAGTGGATCGCAGGTGCAATATCAGGCTTCTGCAGACACGTACTCCAGCTTTCTGCTTGCACCTCTGTTTGAAAGCTCGAGGAATTGTCAGTGGACTACAAGGGCGCTCATCAGCGCCCCCACAGTCCACTGAGAACTACTATCCATCTATCGCAGTGTCAGAAGGAAACTGCTTGTTACTTCATTGACAGATTGCAATGAAATAATGACGTGGAAGTGTGAGCAGAGCTCCACACAGTCGTACCAATTTTGCATGTTACAATTGGTGCGAGGGAGAATAACCCCTACCCGCTGATACAGGGAAAGCAGTGAGGGGGACAGGTACTGGAACATGTTACACCTGACGGTGAACTTAGCCTTTAAGTTGTACAAGTCTCTACAATAACATCTTCCCTTCGATGGAGTAAAACTTTCTGGAAAAACCTACTAGTCCAGAAATAAAAGCGCTACAAATTCATCTCACCTAATGCGGGCCTCCTCCAGAACATTGGCAGGTTTTTGGATTGGCTGATTTCGCTCTGGGATTTTGGGAGTTGCAGCATGGCTTCTGGAGCGTGGCTGTTAAGATTACACACACAAAGGCACATGAAACATTTACTATGATTAAGGCAGAAGTATTAATAAAAAAATATATATATATATATATGTGTGTGTATCTATGTAAAAATACACATATTTAAAGAAATATATAGGCTACCATCAGTGGCCTTTCCTGAAAATACTAGCTTTCTAGCTGTCATTCTGATCTAACATTATCAGTGCTTTCTGAATCATTCACTCAGACAGTATGCAGAACAGGAATTTGTCCTTGTTTTGCCGTCACTACTAAGTCAGACACTCAAAGGGGATACAGAAGATTTGCGTTTGACTGCCTATTTTTAGAAATAGTTCAGCAATAGCATCCCTCATCAGTATAATTTCCTTTAGAAGCCTTTGAGAAGAGGAGGATCTTCTAAGAAGAGTTATATGAACTCTTAAATCTCAGTATCTACACTTGTCTTTTGCAACAACAGGTCTCACTTAAAAGCACTGTACACTTTCAAATGTTTTTGTTGTTTTTAACTAGGCACTGGTGTAGCTCTATTCCCCATGTCATTTGTTTGCCTTACATAGTAATGATGGGCTCCAATGTTTTGGCTGCAGTTTTTAGTGTGTATTCATTCACTTAGCTTGTCCCTATTTGCTAAAGGGACAGGCAGATCACAGGCTTGATACATGGTCGTGGATGTGATGTTGAACTCCCAAAGTTCTTACCCCCCCACCTAGTGTTATGGTTATATTTGCTTGATTTGTCTGTGTGTATATAGTGCTGGCTGCACACTATATTGGTACAATGAACTTGTATGCTTGATATGGAAATTATGCTATACTTGTTGCTCTGTACCTTACTTTGTTTTACTCTTTTCTTTTTGGATTTTTGTACTGTTAAAATTTTTTAAATAAAAATGATGAAAAAAAAAAAAAAAAAAAAAAAAAAAAAAAAAAAAAAAAAGGGACAGGCAACTTCATGTTCTGGATCACGCAGTGTCCGATACATGCCTTGCCATTTCCTCCGTGTTGCATCACAAAATATGTGAGTTCTAATGTGAATATACTTAGTCCTCTAAGGAATGTATGAATGTAACTCAATCCACCTGCCTCATTTGAGTAGACTAGCCCTCTAAAATTCACACAATACTTGGAACTTACAGTTTTATTTGGGGTTTGCGCTGAGGTGTTCCGAGAAGAAGATGGGGTCTGGGGAGTTACTCTTTTTCTTGTAGTTCTCTTGGCAGACTTCACCTCTTCTTCACTTTCTTGTTCTTCCTGGTCATTTTCATCCTCACTGCTACTGGTCACAGCTGAATCTTTGAGGGGAAAAAAATCATCCTCACTTTCATCCACTTCATCAAAGTCGTTCTCGGTCAAAAAACTGGAAAGAAAAAAACAAAATCACAGACAAAAAAAATAACCCAGGTACATGAATATGAAGTACCCCATGTCATGTGATGTACAATTAGGGAAAAGAAAAGCTAGAGATTCAAGCCAACAGAACCCCTCTACACCTGAAATACTTTTAAGACTATTAAATTCAGGTTAAACACATTCGGGGGAATCTGATTTTATATTGAACACATATACAAAATTACTTTATCTGTTTGCGGATCCGGTTAACAGATGCCTGTGCAGATTTCCTTCGGGATCGGGGTGTCTGTGGCTCCTCACCGTTTATTTCTTCTGACGGTCTGAGAGTGTGAGAAAGAGAGAGAGAAAAAAAAAAAAGTAAATTGTGTCAGAAATGTGTCCTCTGCTCAGTTGTTTTATTTCAAGGAGCCTATTTACCCCTTCTAATTCTAATCAGAAACTACAGAAGGATGATGCTTTGTGTTGTACAGATCCAAGAGTGGGAGTGGTTGAGTAGCTTAACATACTATTCTAGGTAGGGCTATCCACATAACTTCTATGTGTATTGAAAGCCCACAACAGAGTTTATGCACTAAGTGCATTGCTGGCAGAACAGGTATTATGTACTTGCATGGCCTATAAAGGAACAAGACACAGTGAAATCTGCATGTACCGAAAATTTTCTTTTTTTTTGCCTTCACATATGCTTTAAGAATGGAAGGACAATTTTTAAGGCTATAAATATTACATCCCAGTACCTCCTGGAACTGCTTGTGCTTCTTTTTGGTGTATTATTCAGTTTTTGTGGCGTTTTGGACTTGGATGACACAGAGTTTTCCACACGATTTCTTCCATTGTTCGTTTCAATGCTAGGAAGAAGATGTCCGTTTAGAAACTGGCAATGACAATTATAGGTGTTAAACATGAAATAAAGGCTGAAAGCTACAGATTATGGTCCACTTACAGGGCTTTTTCCGTTTCTGCTCCTCTGTGACAGCACGTCTTAGAGGAGTCAGTCTCAGGTTACGTTTTGGTAAATCTTTAGGTTGTAGAGGGATGAAGCACAAAGAGAGGTCCTGTTCATTGATAAATTTCTTTGGAGGAGAGTCAGGGAGTCCAGAGAAAGCCACTTTGCGTTTAGGAGCAGCTGGTTCCAGAGGTTTAAATTCATCCTCCAGGAAGGTGTCTCCATTAATTGGCTTCTGAGATTTAGGTGGACCTAAAATATTTATATTTATTAAAAACCCATTATCCACCTTTCAAACCAATAAAAATGTATTCTGTGCAATAGTATTTTCTATAAGGCTGAATTAACTGCAAACCTGTATTTTAAATCATTGGTTGTTTTATTTTATTTTTTATTTCAGGTACTTATAGCGCCGACGATTTACGCAGCACTTTACATATATATACAGTGAGGAACAGAAGTATTTGAACACCCTGCGATTTTGCAAGTTCTCCCACTTAGAAATCATGGAGGGGTCTGAAATTCACATTGTAGGTGCATTCCCACTCTGAGAGAATTAAAAAAAAAAATTCAGGAAATCACATTGTATGATTTTTAAAGAATTTATTTTATCTTGCACTGCTGAACATAAGTATTTGAACACCTGAGAAAATCAGTGTTAATATTTGGTACAGAAGACTTTGCTTGCAATTACAGAGGTCAAACATTTCCTGCAGTTCTTGACCAGGTTTGCACACACTGCAACAGGGATTTTGGCCCACTCCTCCACACAGATCTCCTCTAGATCTGTCAGGTTTCGGCGCTGTCGCTGAGCAACATGGAGTTTCAGCTCCCTCCAAAGATGTTCTATTGGATTTAGGTCTGGAGACTGGCTAGGCCACTCCAGAACCTTGATATGCTTCTTACGGAGCCACTCCTTGGTTATCCTGGCTGTGTGCTTCGGGTCGTTGTCATGTTGGAAGACCCATCATCTTCAATGCTCTGACTGAGGGAAGGAGGTTGTTGCTCAAAAATCTCATAATAAATGACACCATTCATCCTCAATACAGTGCAGTCATCCTGTCCCCTTCGCAGAAAAGTACCCCCAAAGCATGATGTTAGCACCCCCATGCTTCACAGTAGGGATGGTGTTCTTGGGATGCAACTCATCCTTTTCCTCCAAACACGACGAATGAAGTTTAGACCAAAAAGTTCTACTTTGGTCTCATCTGACCACATGACTTTCTCCCATGCCTCCTCTGGATCATCCAGATGGTCATTGGCAAATTTCAGATGGGCCTGGACATGTGATGACTTCCGTGCAAGGGGAATCTTCCGTGCAATGCATGATTTAAAACCATGACGGCGTAGTGTTCTACAGACAGTGACCTTTGAAACTGTGGTCCCAGCTCTCTTCATGTCATTGACCAGCTCCTCCCTTGTAGTTCTGGGCTGATTCCTCACCTTTCTTATCAGGGATACCCCACGAGGTGAGATCTTGCACGGAGCCCCAGTCTGAGGGAGACTGACAGTCGTCTTTAGCCTCTTCCATTTTCTAACAATTGCTCCAACAGTTGATCTGTTTTCACCAAGCTGCTTGGCAATTGCCCCGTAGCCCTTTCCAGCCTTGTGGAGGTCCACAATTTTGTCTCTGGTGTTTTTGACAGCTCTTTGGTCTTGCCCATGGTAGTAGTTGGCGTCTGACTGACTGTGGGGTGGACAGGTGTATTTAAAGAGCTCAGACAGGTGCTACTAAGTTAGATTAATGAGTGGAGTAGAGGTGGACTTTTTAAAGGCACAGTAACAGGTCTTTGAGAGCCAGAATTCTTGCTGTTTCTTAGGTGTTCAAATACTTATGTTCAGCAGTGCAAGACAAATAAATTCTTTAAAAATCATACAATGTGATTTCCTGAATTTTTAATCTCCATGATTTCTAAGTGGGAGAACTTGCAAAATCGCAGGGTGTTCAATACTTCTGTTCCTCACTGTATATTGTACATTCACATCAGTCCCTAACCCTCAAGGGGAGTACAATCTAAGGTCCCTAACTCACATTCATATGTACACATACTAGGGACAATTTTAGACAGGAGCCAATTGCAACACAGTTAAGCTGACGGTATCTTAAATCTCTCTACACTATACTGGTGAGGTCTGTGTTCTAAATTCTTGGGTCCGCACAGCTGTGGTCTGATTATCAATAGCTCTCATTCTGCTTTCTGGAATCATGATATATTTTAGAGAATGCAACAGGAGGTGTTGGAACGCACATAGGCCGCCAGGGATATTCCAAACTTCCAACAGGACAGGAAAACAGCTGGGAATTATGAACAGGAGAGCTCACAGATGGCTAAATATCTGCACAACTGCAGTACAGCAAAAACACACTCTTTGGTTAGTGCTGGTACAAGCTATCCTCATAAACAAAACCTCGCTCTTTAGCTTTCAGTTGTAACAAAGCATAAAAGCATGCAATGCAACAGACTAGATCAGTAGGACTTTAGGGAAGGACCTACTGCTCAGTTCCAGCTTCTTCCTGGCTGCAGGGGTGCTGGTTCCATTGGGTAGTCTCTGTGTCCCTCTGTCCTTGGAATGGGAGCTCTTAGATGCTGAATGGCGGGATTCTATCTCAGCGTCTTTTTTCTGTGACTTGGTGGCGCTGCGGGTAGTTAGTCTGCTCTCTGCGATGTCACCTTCCATGGGGTGAAAGTTAGGTGTCGGCAGAGATTTATTAAGTACTGAACCATTTTTAACCGCGATCCCTTTTTTTGGTTGAATAACACTGGCAGTTAGAGGTTTAAAAGATTTTCCATCCCATGACAGCTTCAGAAACAAGACTTTATCAGATTTCTTGGGTTCAGGGAAAGGATCATCAAGCTTCAACTGGGATATCTAGAAAGTGATACCAAACAAAGATTACGACAGCAATAACAAAAAAGTGAAGTGGAATTAAAATATATCAGAAAGATAAATTCTAGACAGACATAGTGGGATGGAGGTAGATCCCTGCATCATGTGGTGATCTTGTCTCTTGCTGAAGCAAAACGAACCCAAAGAAAGAAAAGTATTGAGGGATACGGAAGTATTTAACCTTCAGGTTATCCACTTCAGCTCCGGAAGGTTTTACCCCTTCATTATGTGGTTATTTTTTGTTTTGCTATTCAGCACTGCATTACTTTAATTGGTAATTGTGTGGTCATGCAACTATGTACCCAAATTAAATTTATATAATCTTTTTACATAAATAGAGCTTTCTTTTGGCGGTATTTGATCACCACTGGGTTTTTTATTTTTTATTATAGAAACAAAAAAAAGACAGAAAACCTTTTGCTATAAAATATATCCAATAAAATTAAAAAAAAAAAAAAAAAAAAATCTAATTTCTTCATAAATTTAGGACAAAATGTATTCTGTTACATGTCTTTGGTAAAAAAAAAAAAAAAATCCCAACATTGCGTGAAAGTTATAGAGTCTACAAACTATGATGTAATACTGGAATTTTGTTTTTTTTAACTACTACTAATAGTGGGGATCACCAATTCATAATGGGAATGTGATAGGGCAGCGGGCAATCTGACACTAACACTGGCAGTGATCACTGGTAATACTATACAGTCACTGTATGACACTGGCTGGGAAGGGGTTAACATCTCAGGGCAATCAAGGGGTTAAACATGTGCCTAACTAATGTTTTGTGTATAATGTGCTTCTTTTTACTAAAAAAAAAAAAAACTCTGTTTCCTTGCAGGGGAAGCAAAGAGTTTGTTCCCTCTGTACAGAGCCCTGTGTTAGGGGCTCTGGGCTGTGAGTGGACACAGCTGATCAGCAGGTCCTGGCCATGAATCATTTGCTGGGACCTGCTGACAAAATCCAATTTGTCTCTAATCACAGCAGGAGTCAGCTGGCAGGGACATCCGCCCTGTACCCAGGAGAGGTACGTTGCTGTGCCTGTATGGGCAACCGATCCACAGTACACTGCGGGTGGGCTGTCCTTATGTTGTTATATTGCCTCCTACAAAGGCAATGGACACTGGAAAACCAGAAAAAAAATGTAGGCCATCCAAGGATAACACCCTCAGTTTTGTAGCAAAGCAGTACTGACAGCAGCATCGTAAACAGAGGCGTGGGACTTGTGTCCTTCAGTGATCTCCAAGAAAAAGATTTTACCCTGAGTGAAAAAATTCTATTTTCTTTTCCCGTCCACTGAGGAACACAGAAGTATTTACTTCAGGATGTTCAAAAGCAGTCCAAATGAGGCGTGAGCAAAAGAGCAAACAAATGCCAAGATACCCAAAAAAACAACAGAGAACAGGGGACTTCCTATAGCTCAAACAGCCACCTGAAGGACCTTGTGCCCTAAGCCAGTAACAGATGAAGCCACAAAG